CAGTGCGCTGTTGGTTGAGGCTCGACGGTGTAGCCACTGCGCTGCTGTAAGCTCCAGAGCATTTTCCAAGAGCAAGGACCACAACAGTCAGGCTTTCTTAGGGTTCGTCCTGTGGTTACAGGCACTCTCTGTTCGTGCGATTTCATCCCCGCCAGCTGGACAATGGAAGGTGCTTTCAATCGTGCTCCTGGCACTTTGTCAGTTTCTGTGCAGTTCAGGGTCTGGGAGTCTGGGACTGCACCGGCCCTAGGCCTAGGATACCCTAAACCCTACACCCCAAACCCCAAACCCCTAAACCCTAAACCCTTAACTCCTCCGTAAACCCAAGCCCCCAAACCCTAAACCTTGCTGAGCCCTGTTCCAGTCGCTGCGCGATTCCATTCTGGCGAGGCAGGGTGTGCAAGTGCGGTTCAGGGTTTAGAGTTTGGGGTTTAGGGTTTGGGGTTTAGGGCAAGTTTGGGGTTTAGGGTTTGCTATGGAAGACTGAAGAATCACCGATTTGTAATGCTAGTGATTTTGCAATATATACCCAAACACCCCAAAGCCTCATTCTAATCTTCCGGCTCTAATGGTAGGCTTTTTCGTGCTATGTTTGCTGCATCTCCTGAACACGTAAACCCTGACCTGCGGAGCACCATGTGCGAGGCCGAAGCCCCCATTTCCCACAACGCTCCGAACCTCGAGCCCTACACTGTATAAACACTAAACCGCGCAAGCCCTACACTTAAACTCGACACCCTAAACCCTAAACCCTAAACCTCTAAAGCGGTAAAAGCATCCTACTTCTCGCATGTCAGTAACAGAAGAGTATGGATTTTCGCAGGCCGACCTAAGCTTCCCTCCCAAATCCTTCTCGAACAACAAATCCAACAGCTCTGTAAAATCCTGGCTACACCGCCCGACAACCCCCTTCACCACGTAGTTTTTTCCCCCGGATATAAGGATAGAATTAAGTTTACCAAGTCTGCCCGCAGAGGACACCCCCAGCGATACTGGTTAGAACAAGTTGCGGAATGGACTCTACCGGTATTCCAAGCCCACCTAGACCACACCGCCAAAGACAGTAGAAGAGATTTACTTGGACTAAAACAGTATTTACAGTTACACCCCGAATATAGCCTACAATTGGAGACTGCGCCGACGCGCTCGCCTGCTTTGTTCAAAAGACACGTTACCCTTGGATGCGCATGGCAACCGTAAAAACCTCTAAAGCCCTAAACCCCTAAACCCTAAACCCTTAACCCTGCCCCCTAAACCCTCTAAAGCCTGCACTCTGAGCAAGCCTTCTGGTCGACTGCAGTTCACAAAGCGGAAACACTCTCTGTTTTGGAGTATATCTTCGAAGGGCAGAGGAAGGCAGAGCAGTCAAGGTTCAAGCTGTTAAGTTGGGGGCTTGAGGTTTAGGATAGTACATATGTAACAAGCTCAGGATTATTACAGCCAGAGGGTTTAACCCTGCAACCTACGCACTAAACCCCCTTAAGGTTCCTCTTGCTAGGATGTTGGAGCGATTTTGCATGAGCAGAGATGTTCTTCTAGGCTTTGCCCCGACCTTGCTGGTCCCTATCTTGCTTGAAACCCGCACCTCGGAATTATGAACAATGCAAAACTCGCCAATTTTGGCACGGAAGCCCTAAAGCCCTAGGCCAGGAAGCTTGAACGGTGCGATTGCAGGCCTGGCATTCGCCACCTGAACTTCGCACAGCCAGCAGGCATCCCTTCAGCGATATATGTATGTATGTATGTATGTATGTATGTATGTATGTATGTATGTATGTATGTATATATATACATACATACACACATAGATTTATATATACATGTACATGTGTACATATATGTATAAATACACATATCAATATAAATATATATATGTATGTATACCGATCGATATCGTTCTTCTAGAGTTCAGAGCAGACCAGGCTTCGCGAAGCAAGGGATCCTTTTCGAGGGCCTTTCTCATCACGATTGCTCTGGACCTCCCAGATAGAGAGCCTCATCGAAAAGAGATTGAAACTGATGGCTAGATCTCACTCCACACGGTTTAAGGTATAGGGTTTAGGATTTAGGGTGTAGAGCATTGGTTTTAGGATGTAGGGTTTAGGTTTTAGGGCCCCGATAACTCTCACAGGCTTTTAGCTCCCAGGGCAGCCTCATAGGCCGCCGAGATTCTTTTAACTTTACCAGGCTCCCAAACCCGCCGATTGAGGAATTTTCCTGTTGCAGTAGGGGTCCTTCGTGCCGGACGGATAATTAAGGAGCATCGGAGCCCGAAACCCTGAACCTGAAGCTTAAACCCTGAGGCCCATCGGGATACGTGGGTTCAGGCTATTCCATGGCTCCCTGGCGTGCCGAAGTAGTCGGCAGCCCGGGCGCTTTGGAAGAGGCGCGGAAAACTCGAGATGATACTCAGTATGCAGAGATGTTAGCCCTTGCTATTGTGGTGCAGCTATGTTTCAAGAACATGAGACGTGCTGTGGTATCACAGCATGTAGCAAGTAATCGTGTCAATGGCAGTCAGAGCAACCTGAAGTGGTCAGAGTACACGTCTTTTGGAAGATTCCGTGGCTACTTGCGCATAACTATGCTGATGGCGCAGTCGATTGTGTTGGCGGAGATGATGACGATGACGATGGTGACAACGGCTATGAAGATGATAGTGATGCTGCTGGCCCAGATAGAAGGCGGTGTTGAAGTGGGACTTGATCCTGTACGTCGAGGTAGCAGCAGCGCAGACGAGCACACTCGTCATCGTTGATCATTGTCATCATACACACCCCAAGCCGAAAACCTTGCGCTGCACTATGTACGATGTCCAGGATGACTCTTCCCCACTTATAATGCAAATCCGTGAGGCAGGTAGAAGCGCAGGTCTAACTTGCTGCCCAATACCTTTACGACGGTTGGCCAAGGATTCAGCGTCACTGCTTTCGACGAAGGGGTAAGGATTGCCCTAAGCTCTAGGTTTCAGGGTTTCAGCGCTCAGGGCATTGCGATCCTTGATAGGTCTTTGGGCTGTGCATGCAGGTGTGGCTATGCAGTGTCACCAACAGAGCCTGCTTCCGAAAGACACCATTGACATACCTCAAGTGAGTCTGAGCCCTTTTCTGTTTAATCCTTCGCTCTACACCAGAAGTTATGCCAAAGCAGGTAACTCCTGGATCCGGATGAAACTTCTGGCGCTAGACAGGGATTTCCGGGTGGCTCTTGACCGGTTCGACTCCTTGAATCCCGAACCCTGCATCTTAGCCTCCGACGCGGTTTATTGTGTAGGATTTCGGGTTGAGGGTTTTGAGTGAAGAATGTTGGATTTAGGGTTCGGGTTTTGAGTTTAGGGGAAGCCCCCTACCCTGGCGTGCCGAAGAGGTCGAGATCTTCTTGGAGAACACTTTGGAGCACGGCTCGGCCAGGGCCCACACTGTCAATACATCTTAATCTAAATTGCCGAGTATCTGGCACAGTGTAGGGATATTAATGGTGCTGGGAGTGGTATGAAACGATTTACTAGCTCACTAGCTGCACTTGGTATGGCTCCGGAACGCCATGATATTCTGCGCTTCTGGCTGTAGGCTCATCTCATGAAGCCATGACGGCCAAATTCTTGCAAATTCGCAATTTCATTGTCCATGCTGTGTTTGCCGCTGTTGGTACATTTCGTCCCGCTTTTTCATGATATTATGAAGCCCCAACCGCTTCTGCTTGTGCGTAATGGCGTACTGTCCTCCAGCTTTCGAAGAATGTTGGGCATGGCCAAGCCGAAGAAGACCCCGACCAGACCCAGAAACCCAAGAACCCTAACACTACAGCGCCAATACTGCTAAACCCGATATCCTGCATCCTCGACCACCCCTCATGAAGTACAGTGTACTGTAAGTGATAACGGAAATACACTAAGTCACAACAGAAAGCCGATCAGGACCATGTAGAATCCGTCTAAGACACCGAAAGGATGTGTACAAAGCTCTATAAGGACACCACCCTTATAGCACCCTTGGGCGCCGAAGATGAGCTTCGAAGTTTTTTGGCTGCAGACCTCGACGAGGCACCGCCCAAGAACGAGGAACCTCATACTTTCAGAGTTGAGTTTAGGGCTCCTGCTACTACTGCTACGGCTACTACGGTTGCTACTGTTACTATTGTTACTACTGTTACTATTGTCACTGCTGTTACTGCTGTTACTGCTACTACTACTACTGCTGCTACTACTACTACTGCTACTGCTACTACTGCTATTACTACTACTGCCACTCCTACCACTACGACCACGTTTTCGACGACGCCGACGACACTACTGTTGCCACTACCGCTGCTACCTTGCGCCTTCCACTCTTGGTCTTGCTTGGAGTTCTGCAGCCGCCAGTGCTGGTGTCGCTACCAGTACAGCAGGTACTGCGACTACTGCTGCTGGCAGCCTCCTCTCTTCCTCCTCCTCCTCCTCCACCTCCTGTTTCTCTTCCTCTGCTGCTCCACCTGCAGAAACTAGTCTCACTTCTACTCTCTTCAGCCTTGCACGAGGGATGATTGCAATGATGTTGATAATGACGAGGATGACGATGGTTATTGTATATTATTGTGCTGCTGCTGCTGATGATGATGATCATGATCGTTGCTGTGATGACTGTGACTTTCGTTGTTGTCTTTGCCGCTTTTGCTGCAGTTTGGTGGTGGTTTTGTTGGATTTGCTGCTGTGCATTGCTTTTAATTGCTCCCTTTCTTTCACGCTCATCTGCAATATCCTCCTCCTCCCAACCCTCCTCCTCCTCCTCCTCCTCCTCCTCCTCCTCCCGCTCCTCCTCATCATCATCATCGTCAGTACTCGTGATTGCCACCTTTGCTGCTTACGGGGTGACTACTGCCAGCATGATCTGCTCTTTCATACTCTTAGCGGATAGACTGAAGCATGGCATCCTGGAGTCCTCACCATAAGAGCCCCTTCTGAGTTCCTGCTGGAGGGCGGTGCCCTCTAGACGTAGCCCCAGAGATTAGGAGCTTCCTCTGTCATGCCCCTGTGTGGGAATGGCACAGCCCGGAGCACCCCACTACGGCGCTATGCGAAGTCGTTGGCCAGGGGGTCGCCGAGTCCACCAAAGCCTCCGATGCAGTTCCCGATGTACACTCTGCCCGTGGAGAGGCTCCTGGAAATGGGTGAAATCGAACCCCATGAAGTGCTGAAGGAGCGAGGTCTCCTTGTGGACTTCGAGGAGAGCATGGGCAAAGCAGCTTTTGTGTCCCACCAGTGGGTTGGCCAGAAGCACCCGGACCCAGAGTTCAAGCAGCTTAGGGTGCTTCAAGATGCTTTGAAGCACATACTCTCGAAGATGCGCTACATCTGCCTGGACTTCTTCACAGAACTGCTGGTGTTCGGTGCTAAGCCCCTTGATACAGAGGAGATCAGGGTACAGCCCCTCTTCATCTGGTATGATTACTTCTCCTGCCCGCAGCTTGACCTTCAAATCATTGGCTCCCTGGATGGTAGGCTGCGAAATGCTCAAGGGAGTCACTAGGCGACAGTTCGGGACAATCTTGTATGTTCGCGTATGGTCTCAAAGAGGCACCTCTTCAGAGCTAGCTTTCGTGTTCTTGCACTCAATCCGAGGTGAACTTGTCCAGGCAATCTACAGCATCCCCGCCTACATTTCCAGGTGCTCATTCTTCTTCGCACTTTGCCCAGTCATCGACAGCGCAAACCAGTCGAAGGTGTTCACACCCTTCACTTGGAGTGACCGCGGTTGGTGTAGATTTGAGAGAGCTTGCCGTGAGCTTTCCGAAAATGCCTCCTGGATTTTGATCCGAAGCCGGACAGAACTTGAACTGATTGCATCACCCTTCGCGGCGATCGGGGGATCAGCTGGGGAGGGTGCTTTCACGTTGGCCGAAGACAAGCTGCAGCTAGCAGAAGTACTGCTGCAAGCCTTGAAGCGCAAGCTCCACCTCTTGTTGCAAAGAGAGGACTTGGAGGGCTACCGCGTGCTCCTGAACTTGCAGCATGTCCACCTGCGAGGATTTTCGGTCCGGCCCTGGCAAAATCTGGTACCCGGCTTTGAGCCCACAGATCTTGGGGTTCATGATCCGAGCTCCCTGAGAGCATCTCGCTTCCTGCATGAGAACGGCTTTTCAAGCCTGGGCGACGTTGACAGAAGAGGTTGGTCGCCCCTGCACTATGCCGCCCTGGCAGGGGACGCCCTAGTGATTGAATGCTTACTGGAGCAAAGGGCTGACCTTCACCGCCTCACCCAAAAGGACCAACCACAGGCCGGAGTCCAGCCCTGGGCCTCGGCTCTTGCAATTTGTGTCATGTTCAAACACAGCAACTTAGTAGCTGAGTGGATACACTTTGCAGTTTTTGGGATAATACTAGTACTACCCACTATAAAACTAAAAGTGCACACTTTTGGGGGCTTATGAACTCATCAACTAAGGCAAGGCTACTCGGCTGCTCGTCGCCGCGAAGGCTCAACTCAATTCTGGAATCCAGCCGCCCCTTCACATGGCGGCCATGGCGAACAACGCGGAGGGCATCCGCATTCTCTGTGGGGCTGGCTGCAAGGTCAACTCCAAGGACCCTGCCTCTGAACACTCTTGCGGTGTCCGAGCACGACTCACATACCTACATACGTACATATGTAAACAATGTACATAAATAGGTAATTGCTTACGTACGTATGGTACATACATGTAGGTACATACGTACATACGCACGTATGTATATGCATACATGCAGCTATGCTTTGCAGAATAGTTGCACGCATCGTGCTATGTCGTGTATACACTGAGTTTATATAGCGAATCTGGTGTCAAGTATTATCCTTTCGAGATTAACTATAACTATGTATGACATGTGGTTTATGATGCATGCTTTTTGATCGGTGCGTCTTTCTACTTCTCTCTTTCTCTCTCTATCTATCTCTCTCTCTCTCTCTCTCTCTGTCTTTCTCTTTCTCCGATATATACGTGTGTAGACATTCGCTTGTTTACTCAAGCTCCGCTTTTTGGGAGGACGTTTTCGGCTTCTCTTCCTTTGAAGCAGCTTGCGGGTTCGGCAGTCTCGAAGCTGCAGACGAGCTCCTTCAGCAAGCAGCATACCAAATCGACGTATCTCGAGCACTCTTCTGTGCTATGGCCAACCGTGGCGGTAAAGCCGAGCTTGTGCATAGACTGCTGGCTTTACGAGCAGATGTCGACCACCAGTTCAAGCAGAGCTGGCTTTCTTTGCATGGCATCTACACTTGCGTGAGAATTCTACAGCAAAAGTCCGGCAAGGCTACATTTGCCAGCAGAGCTGCATATCATGGGGATGGCATGACGCCTCTCATGGCTGCCGTGATGCCACTGGTCTTCTTAGCACAGAATTTCCTTTTTGACTCCGTGTTTTAGGTGACGGCGCCTGTACGCGCCTATTCGTTTTTGGCAGGTTTCAGGGTATTGGTGTGGGGGTGGTGGGGGAGGGAGTGGGGGGGTGGGGGTGGGGAGGGGGGGGGATAAGAACGTCATTCACCATGTTTTCTCAATGCTTGATTGCTATCTCTGCTGCACTACTGCTCCCTCCCTTGTTTTGAACACCGTTGCTGCTGTCATCAGGGCTCAGTAACATTCAAGGCCCCTAAACCCTAGACTAGACCCTAAATGGACCCCAAACCAATTCAAGGTCAGGGCAATATGAAGGAGCTGCGGCTCTAATTGCAGCAGGGGCCAGCCTCGACTTGCGCAATGGCCGAAAGTGGAGTACCTTCGATTTCGCGCGAGAGCAATCGCTGCCGCACTTTCTGATGGAGGCACTGGAAGGACGGATAGAAGAAGTCGGACGAATCTTCACCGATGCAGTAGCCAGCAGCCAATTTGAGATCTGATTTGCATCCTGGTTGAACTCGCTGAGCGCACAATTGTGACCTATTCTTGACATTTAAGTGTTTTGCGGAGCAATTTTCCGACCAGGGTGGGGCGAATCTTGGCTCTTCCTTCCGACCTGCCTCCAGCCATCCGTGTTCAGGGTTCATGGTTTTGGGGTGTAGGTTTTTGGAGGGTTCAGGCATGAGGGTTCAGGGACCACTTACAACCCAAACCCGGGATTCTGTTGTTTCTATCTTTGGTGGTTCTGAGCGTGGGGCTGGCTTTCCGCCAAGTCCTGTCAGGTTTCAAAGACCGTTTGCTGCTGTATGGCTGTCGCTGTCCCTCTACTGATAAGGGTTCTCAGGAATGTCCTCTTGCTACTGACCGTAGCTGTACCCCTGCTACACAAACTGGTGCAAATATCAGCGCCGCTACTGTCAATTCTTGCATTTCGACTTCTTCCGCTACCGCTACATGCATAGTCTAGTGACCACAGTGTTTCATGAATGAAGATTGGAGCGGGACCGACGTGGAATAACTGAAACTGTCAGAGACAGTTGTGAGCGCCATGTCCCCCTGGGCAATTCCTGGGTTTGGAGTACCATACTTGAATACTTTTTTGGTACCTGTTCCTTAAAGGAGCCATTATGAAATAAACGTCTATACTTTTTTCTCCCTGGTTACTTCAAAGTCCAGATTTAGTTTGCTTAGTTTGTTCACTGTGGCCACCTGACAGCAGGTCTCTGCAGTGGGTTTCACACACCAAGGATTTGCGAGTCTTCGGCGCCCTTAAATTCCAGAGGGACAAGAGCCGAAGAGGAAATATATCAACAAACTTCAAGCCCTATACACCCTAAATCCTAAGTCTTGAATCCTAAACCATATAAATCCTAGACCCCAAATCCTAAACCTTGAACCCTTAATCCTGCACCCTGAACCCGAGCCAGATTCCACGAGAGGATCCGGGTCGAAGATCCCAACACTCTCTTTGAAATGCGATGCGACTATGGACAGTGTACCGCATTACCTTTACCTTAACATCTGGGCTTAGGGTTAAGGACCTCGAATTATGGGCACTCTAGTATGTTGAAGACTTGATGGCAATGGCGGTTTTTGTCCATCAGCAGCCTGGGAGTCTCAGAAAGACTTGGGGACTTCATCCGAGGGTCAGTATGAACCCATACCCTCAACTACACTTCAAACCCGAATGCCAAAGCCCTATACTACACCTTCAACCCTAAAGCCCAAGCCTGGCACCCTAAACCCCAATCCATGCTACACCCTAAGCCGAGACCCAGATCTTCTGACTCTCCCAGAACTCTGGGGGCGACAAGAGCCGGATCGGCCCTTCCACTGTCTGGAGACCAAAAAACTTTCCGAACGCCTTACGCTGGTCCGGTTCGGTGTGTCCATAATTGGTAAGGCTCCTACCTATATGCCCTTCCGGTATCCCTAGTGTAGAGCCCCTTATGGGATCCTGTACAGTCGCCCCACAAGGAGCCCTATTCCAATCATCATTGAGGCTCCTACAATGGTTGATGATCTTGTCTTTATAAGACCCCTTATGGAATCCTAACAAAGTACCTTATTTCTAATCATCATAAGGGCTCCTAAACCCTAAACCCTAAGCCCTATGACTCTTAATGATCTTGTCGTCGTATCTGCCCAGGTCACTCTCGCCGGCTACGAGGCTGGCCCCGGAAGCTCTACGAAGGCAGCAGCTGCTACCAAAGAGGGGTCTCTTGCAGCTAGGATTATAGGGTTTAGGGTTTACGGTTTAGGGTTATGGGGTTTAGGGCGCAGGTTTGGCAGAGGGTCGCTTTTCCGCTTTGTGTTGCCCGCTTGTTGCTTATTGCTCATTGCTCTTGGCTTTTCGATTTGTGGTTGGCATATTTTGGGGTTGTTCCTGCTTTGCTTTTTTGCTTTTGCGTTGAATGCTTTGTATTTGTTTTCTCTCCTCTGCGTTTGTGTTTTTCCAGCCTTGTTTTGCCTCTCTGCGGTGTCTTCTTTTGTGTTCTTGCGTTTCTACCTCTTTGCTCATCGCTTCTTGCCCTCGGCTTTTCGTCTTTGGCCCTAAACTCTGAACCTCTAAACGCTATGAACCCTAAGCCATGATAGTTTTCTGCTCTTTCTCGGAATGTTTTCAGTTGCAAATCTCCGTCTCACCGTTCAAGCTTCAAGGCAAGGCTTGAGGATTGCATCGCCAACTGGGCTTTGTGGTAGGTAGAGCAGATAACCTCTAAAGACTTTTTTGGAGTACTGTCATCCCCGTGGAACCCTAAAGGTTTACCTTTAGTTCCCATAGGATACGGGACAAGTAAGTGAGGGGCAGGTTTGAGAGATAGACATGTGATAGCATTGGATCAACTCATGAGGGGCCGGGAGGGTTTTAGCAATGTCAGAAACCGCGTGTACGCACGGCGGTCAAGCGCCATTGTGTGATGAGGGGCACCGGCGGGTGCACGAAAAGTGATGAACCGACAATCGCCCCATGAGGGGGAGGGGGTTCAAGACATCTGACCAACCGACATCGGCTAACGAGGGGACGGGGTTTATAGATGTGATCAACCGCCAACACTACAAAACGGGGGGGGGGGGGGTTCAAGAAATGGGCTCAAAAACCGCCATCGCCGAATTTGGGAGGAGGGGGCAGGCTTCCGAACTGTGATCAGCTGCCATAGCCTAGATGACGGGGCGGGCTTAGGAAGCATATTTCACCGCCATCACATGAGAAGGCAGGGGAAGAACTGTGATCATCTTTTGCTTTTTTCCTAGCGGGCAGCTGCAATGTTGGAATTGTAGGACGCGTTTTGTAGAAGTGCAAGCTCCGCATCGGATTGCTCAACTTCACCAACAGCTTTGAAGCCTTGAATTTAATTAAGCCTTGCCTCCTGGACCGGAGATGCGAAGTACACCTTCAACCCGAATCCCCGGACCCGAAACAGAAAACCTAAGCCCCGAAAGCCTAGCACCCGAGGCCTTTCCCTCAAAACCAAAGTCAATCCAAGCATGTAGCCCGAGCCTCAAACCCCAAAACCCCAAACCCTTCTCCTGACAAGCTTAGCACAAAAAGCACACTTCCAGCAAATACTCTCCAATGCGCAAGCGTCGTCTCCTTTGGCTGCTACTCCTGGGAACCGGAGCAGCCTGGCTCCAGGCGGCTAGGCCGATCCATGTGCTGAAATGCTTACTACTTTATGGTTGATGGCTACGATATGGGGCATCATAGAGTTACTACTTGTATCTTCTGGTTGATTGTAGGTATTAGGGTTTAGGGTTTTTGTGTTTGCAGGTTTCTGGTTCTTGCGCTTTACAGGCTTTAAGTGCATATAACGGTTTAGAGGGTTTAGGCGGTGCTTTTTTTTCTTTTTTGGAGGGGGGGGGGGGGTTGGGCTAGGCTTTGGGGTTTAGGGTTTCTCAGTATCGAGGGTTTGGAAACAACGTTTTCGCTTCTGAGTTCTCGGCAATGAATGAATGAATGAATGAATCAATGAATGAATGAATGAATCAATGAATGAATGAATGAAATGAATGAATGAATGAATGAACGAATGAATGAATGAATGGATGAATGAATAAACGAACGGATCAATGATTGATTGATTGGATGGATTGATTGATTGAGTGAGTGAGTGATTGTGACTGACTGAACGAATGAATGCATGAATGAATGAATGACTAAATGCATGAATGAATGCATGAATGAATAAATGAATGGTTGACTGAATGAATAATGAATGAGTCACCGAATCGAGAACTCCATGAAGAAATGAACGAATTAAGTTAACACATGACTAACCACATATCTATCTACATATGTACATGTGTGTGTATCTATATCTGTTTTTGTTCCATCTGTTTTTCTGCCTGTCTATCTATCTATCCGTCTGTATGTCTTTCTATCTTTTACCAGTATCTATCGTCTTCTGTCTGTCAATCAACCTATCTATCTGCCTATCTCTTCTTTCTATCTGCCGAAGTATCGCAAATCCACAGGCCGGCAAGTGGCAGACGCCACGGACTCTTGGCTTGGGGTGTGGCAGCATCGGCCGCCGATGGCCGAGCCACCAGAAATGCATTGGAAGGATTATCGGGGGGTTTAAGGTTTAGAGGTTTAGGGTTTAGGGTAGACGGACGGGTTAAATCCCGAAGCCAAAAGCCCTAAACCGTAAGCCGGCACTTTCTGGACTCAGAGTTTTGCCGGAGGTTTCCAGGTTCGTCGATTCATGTAGGTATGTGACCTCATCCCGTCTGTCCACAAACTCTGCGAGAAAAGAAACGAGCGCAGGATTTGAATCACGGTTTCAGAGGGACAGTAGAACTAGTCCTGTTGTGTTTTCTAGAACCTTACGCCGTAGATCCTAAACCCTGGCATCGATACCACCCCAAACCGTATCGACGACTCAAAGGGCCCCCACATCATGTTAGGTGCATCGACCAGCTCGAATTCTACAAGAATCACCCGTAGTTTACCGTTTTTACGGTTCAAGGGTGTTAATGTTTTGACTTTAGTTCACGGTGCTAGCTCAGCGTGGTGCAGTGGCAATGTCAGACAGTGTTTCCGTCTATTCGCTTTCGTGAAGACCTTCAATGTCATATGCTGAAAACGAAGCTTGCCGTTCACTATTTGTAGATTACCAGGTTCCGTTGATCTTGCAGTGTCAGTCCTACTTAGAGGATCATGCGCCTTAGCTACCAAGGCTATAAGTATTGATGATGATGATGATGATGATGTTTTTTCACACTGCTTGTAGTTATCATGGTTAATACCATTACTATTATTATTAGTGTTTGTTAAATTGGTCTTGTCATTTTAAGTAGTCAGGTTTAGGGCCATCGACTGAATAAGCATGTGGAAGCCACTTCGAAAAGGCTTAAGCCTAAACCTACCAGTACGCCCCACTCCCAGTATAACTTAACAACGGCATGGGAATTTGCACATATTTTCCGTAGGTTGCTTGTTACAGCTTCACCTTAATGCGCACCTAAACCCCATTCAGCCCACACGATGCCCTCAGGG